GGGTTGCGATCCGTTGCCGGTCACGAAAAAAGACAAAAAGGAAAAAAAAAAAAAAAGAAGGTGATGTTATAACACCAAGGTCAAGGGTTCAGATCCCCATACTGGCCAGCTGCCAGCCAAAAGAAAAAAAAAAATCAGCTATTGATAGGGAAGTACAAGGTATTATAGAATCCACACTGGTCTCTTGGTTCCTGCCTTTGTCCCCACCGTCTATTCTCCCCACAGGAGTCAGAGATCACCTGTAAGTATACAAATTCTTCTCTGTTTGCAGTCCTTCGTGGCTCCCACCTTGCTCGGAGTAAAATCCAAAGCCTCCCCACAGCCCGCAAGGCCATGCACGATCTGCCTTGTCACCTCCCTGTCCTTGCCTCCTCCCATCTCTCCCTTGCTCACTCCACTCCAGCCACATTGGCTTCCTGGCTGTTCCTAGCAAGTTCCCACCCCAGGGCCTCTGCGTGTACTGCTCCCTGTGCCTGGTACCATCTTCCCCCCGACATCAACAGGGTTCCCTCCTTCACCTCCTTGTCTATGTTCAAACAGCACCTTCTTGGAGAAAGTTCCTCTCTCCACCCCCAGCACTCCACATCTCTCTTTGCTGCTTAATTTTTCTCCATCATTTCTGGCCTCCTACCGGTTGTTTATTTATTATGATTCTTACTGTCTTCTCTACTAGAATATCTGCTCTATAAAGGCGACAATTTGGGGCTGGCACACAGTAGGTGCTTACTCAGTGCCTGCTGAGTAAATGGGCAGATGGATGGATGGTTGATGCCCAGCTGCTGCCTGCACCCCCAGCCCTGCCATGGTGCTGATGCCCCAGACTCACCAATTTTGTGTGCAATCTGTATGCAGACGTCTTCGGCCGTCAGCGAGGCCTCACTGAAGGTGACCCAGGGCTCTCCGCCATCAGGGCCAGCCCAGTGCAGAAGCACCTTCAGCCCTCCCAGGGCAGCCATGGGCTGAGCTCCATCCTCATCAGGCTTTCTGCCCCTGGTGGCCCGCCCCTGGCACAGAGGCATGCTCCTGACAGCTTGCTGAGCTGGCAAGGGACGACCCATCAGCTCCCAGGCCTCAGCCTGGAGGCCCCTTTAGCACCTCAACCTTCCACCCACCCAGGCTGAGACCCAAGGGAAAGATTCTTGGGTCCCCCCGGCTACGCATCCTCAGGCACCCCAACTCCCCTCCCTGAGCTTCAGTTTATGCATTTTTTTTTT